GCGCTTCCCGAACTCCCGAGGGTTGATCCTGGCGCCGTCGTCCGTGACCCAAGAGTCCCAAGACACAATGCCCCAACGAAGGCGCTTCAGAGTACAATAAACCGCCCCAGCAGGACCCTGCACTTTCTGCCACGACGCCTTTTCCAGCCTCATGAAAGCTTCGAAACAAGATCTCATGATCCTCTCAGGTACCCGAGACTGCTGCAAAGCCAGAATCCAGGATATAATCGGACCAGAGTTCGCCAAATACGAAGGATCGGCCAACGGCTCGGGGCCCGGCAAGAACTCCAAGGTGCGGGGTCTTCCTTTAGGCGTTCCAAAAAGAGCCTGGCCCATCTGGGCCCTGAGCTCCGTCACCCTCTTGTCCGACAATCCTATAACTGGCGCGCCGTACATGGCAGCAGGCAAAGCTCCGACTCGCACAACTTTGGCAGCACCACGAAACGAACTTCGAAGTCCCCGATAACGATGTACCCGCGATCGAAGCTTCCTGAACCTTCCCCTTTGGACCTTCGGGGCCCCTCTGTTCTTTTTCAACGTAAAATCAACCGAGGTTTTTAGACGAACTACTGATAGTAAAATCCCATTTATCGAGCTTCTTCTGGATTACCGCCGCCACGACGTTGTCCGACGACACGATGGCCCCCTTCTCCCTCGACACCACCATCTGCAGTCTCTCCAACTGCAGGCAAACATACCTGGTCGCTGCGCCTACCAAGCCTCCTAGCTTATCTGGCGTGGCCGATCCAAAGAAGGTTAAATCATCGACAACGTTAAATATGCTGACACTTGGCCAATGCACACGTGCTGCATCACATGGGATGTGGCCCAGGCGCAACCTGCGACAATCCCTTGCTCCACCCAGTTTAAATCAGACACCATAGATCCATGCTGCAGCAAACGGGAACATCTGTATTGTCTAAGGAGCATTCGCAGCCTCACTAATGGAAACTAGTGTCGAACTGCGGCCATCACTAGTAGGTAATGCACAACTTTCTCATACGCTTTCGTTAGGTCTACCAGCGCCGCTGCTGATGGTATCCCTTTTCCCGCCGTGAACTCCCCTGTGATGGCTTGCTCCCAAACCGCTCGCTCACAACTCCTTCCTTTGGATCCGTAATGATACTCCCGTGCTACCGTAGCCTCCCACCTGTCAGCCCCCCCCTGGTGATCTTCCCGAACACACGGCAAAAACCTGGAAGAAGTCCAATCGGACGAGATCCTGCATCAGGACGAGGCAAGAGGACTACACGATTAAGTGCAATGGCCGCTGGTATATGCCCTATTCTCTCAGCCCAATGATACAAATAGCCAAGAGTCGTGAGCGCAGCATCACAGACCAAGCTGGCATCCTTCGGGTGCACCATATCAGCACAAAGACCTGTACGGCGCTTAAACTTCTGCGAGGCCTTGCGAATCTCGTCCGCAGTCCTTACAGCAGGGTAAACCTCGCGGCCGTCTGCAAACTGCCTCTGGATTTGGTGCTCCAACTCTCCGAAGGGGTCTGGGTAGGTGGTGGCCTCCAGGGTTGGCTTCCAGATGTCCTTCCAGAGATCAGTCTGCTCTTGCATGACTCCTCCAGGGCCTGGAGGGGCCCTTCCTTTGACGAGAGACTTGCTAGGGACCCAAGCCATGGGAGTCCTAGTGTACTGGTGGGCCTGGCCAGCCCCCGCTTTCACAGAGTCGGCAACCCAGCTGCGCCACTGAGCCCCCCTCTGCGAACTGAAACGTTGTTCAAGATTTGCTGCCCAGCGTCCTGCCTCCTGTTGCCGAGCGTGTAGCCCAGCTGCTGAAACTGATAAAAGGTCTCCTCGTACAGTTGGCTTCCAGCTCAGCCAGTCGGGAGACTTGCGCAAAACGCCTGGGCCTGCCAAGATGCAATCGATCAGCCTGATGGTTTCAACTCCTCCCCAACTTTCTGAACGTGCTTTGATATGATAAAGCTCCTGGAACCAAATCGAAACCTTGCGCCAACCTCTACTCTCAGGACATCCCACGGGAAAAGGGCCTCCAGCGGTCCGAAGTGAATCGGCTTGCTTGAGCTTCCTCTGTTCACACCTTCCACCATACTTTGGCTGATCACGCACTTGGTATATATCGAGCAGCTCGGACTCGAAGGTGGCCAAATACTCCAGGAAAACCCGATCAAGATCTTCTGAAGAGCCTCTGGCTTGGGCCTTTTCGAGTAACTGCTGGTAGTCTGGGGCCTGCGGGCGTGGCCCCACTGGGATCTCCTTGGGCAAGACTTTCGGCTTCGTGACCACCCAGTGCTTGGCCTCCAACGGGTCCCCCTTTAAAGTGAGCCCAACTGGCCAATGAGGTGCCGTGGTAGCCGTGTCATTTCTCTTACAGCTGGCCACGCATGGGCCCAAGCCCTTGGAGATAACAAAATAGTCGATGGTCCTCCATTTGCGTGCCGTTGATCGGCAGGTGGGCGTATCAGGAGCAACTATGATTCCACCTACCTGCTGAGGCCATCCAAATTCAATTAAATCTTTTGGCTCCACCTGCCAATCGCCCGCCAGGATGAAAGGGATGCCGAACGCGTGCAGCACCTCGAACACACGAGCGAGGATGAGCGATCCTTCCTCTCCTAGCGGGGATCCTTGCGGAAGATAAATACTGCCAGCTACAAAGCCTCCAGGGATGAACGCGCTAACCCAAGTGAGGCAACATCTTGGTGGACTCGGGAGGCCTTTGTGTGGGGGAAGCTTACCCATACCAATATGTGTTAGAGCAGCAACCCCAACTCCCGAACTCAGACCTCCTCCCTCCGTAATGAACGAAGGGTGGAGACAGGCGTTCCAGCCTGACTTCCTGACTTTGGCTTCCCCGTCAGTCCTAGATTTGGCTTCCAGAGTGAGCTCCTGCAGCATAACAACAGAAGCGTCGGTCTCCTTGTCCAAATACCGAAGCATAGAACGCCACGAGGTTGTGTTGCATGTCTCGAGCTTGAAAGTCGCCTTACCTCTTCGCGATCCTCCCGGCCTAGACTTGACTGGGTCGGGCTGGAAAACTCGTTCCTCCTCCTCCTCCTCCTTGTTCCTCCTCCTCCTCCTCTCCTTGTCCTCCTCCCTCTCCTCCTCCTCCCCCCTCCTCCTCCTCTCCTCCTCCTCCTCCTCCTCCTCCTCCTCCCCCTCTCCTCCTCCTCCTCTCCTCCTCCTCCTCCTACTCCTCCTCCTCCTCCTCCTCCTCCTCCCTCCTCCTCCGCTCCTCCTCCCTCCTCCTCCTCCTCCCTCCTCCTCCTCCCCCTCCTCCTCCTCCTCCTCTCCTCCTCCTCCTCCTCCTCTCCTCCCCTCCTCCTACCCCGTTTTCCTCCTCTCCCTCCTCCTCCTCCTCCCCTCCTCCTCCTCCTACTACTACTACTACTACTCCTCCTTGTCCTCCTCCTCCTCCTCCTCCTCCTCCTCCTCCTCCTCCTCCTCCTCCTCCTCCTCCTCCTCCTCCTCCTCCTCCTGGTGGTGGCGGTGCGCGGTTGCAATCTGCAGGGAAAAGGGGGGTCCCCGACCCAGGCCACAGCGAGCGAGCGAGGGGAGTCCATCCGGCCCTGCTGCGGGGCCGCGCCCGCCAGAAGGGCAGGGTGCAATGCCGGGGCCCCCCCAACTGGGCCGCAGGGGGGGGGGGGGCTTGAAGGGACGAGGCCCCTCGAAGGACGAGGCAGGCCCCAAGCGGCCCAGGAGATAGCCTTTCGGCGGTGGACAGACCTCCCTTTAGCAAAGCAAACTACCCTCTCTAGTGAAAACGGCCTGAGACCGAAACCGACGGACCTAAACCCGCAAAGACGACGGCCGCGACGCCCTCTCGCGGACCGAACACGGCCAATTCGCTAATCGACGTGTCAGGGTAGGAGGTCTATCAACCTCCGAACATTGGGAGGGCAGCGCTCGGTTGAATCGGCTGATGGACAAAGGAGGCCCCAACTGGGCCCCTGGAGCGAGACGGGAAGCTGACTGGGGGACAGCGAGGTGACACGAGCCCCGAATGCAGAGGCGGGGTGCGCCCGCGCCTCCCCCCCCTGCAGAAGCAGAACGGACTGACAAAAGTGATTGGGCATGGTTAACAGGATCAGATCGCAAGGTTCCGCCCACGAGGCTCCTGAGGAACGGGATGGTCAGCTGCGCCGTCTTCAGGACATTCGCATGCAGGCCAGATGCTGCCGCCCCGGGCTCGTCAGGACAGAACTCCTTGGACGCAAGGCAGGGCTCTGTGAAGCTTCGCTTGCTTCGGCTCAAGCCGTCAGCATGTCCGTCGGTGAGGTCGGTCAGCGCCGCCTACAGGCCAGACACTGAAGTTGAGGGTGACGTCTTGCGGGCCCGAGTTGGGCCCAGATTGAGGGCCACACGATTTTGGGAATCCAACGGGTCTCGTCCACAGAGGAAGAGGATAAGAAGGAGGTGGAGGAGGAGGAGGAAGTGGAGGACGTTTACACAAGGGGAGGAGGACAAAGGAAAGAAGGGACAGACAAACTAGGCGCGGTCGCGCCAGCTCTGCGATCCGACCCGCCGAGGAGGAGGAGGAGGAGGAGGAGGAGGAAGAGGAGGAGGAGAAGGACAAGGAGAAGGAGAAGCAGAAGGAGGAGGAGGAGGAGGGGGAGGAGGAGGAAAAAGGAGGAGGAGGAGGAGGAGGAGCAGGAGGAGGAGAAGAAAGAGAAGGAGGAGGAAGAAGGAGGGGGGGAGGAGGAGGAGGAGGACGAGGAGGAGGAGAAGGAGGAGGAGAAGGGGAAGGAGGAGGAGGAGGAGGAGGAAAGGGAGGAGGATGAGGAGGAGGAGGAGGAGGAGGAGGAAGGGGAGGAGGAGGAGGAGAAGGAGGAGGAGGAGGGGGGCCGCGGGCGGAGGCGTCGGCGACCGCTCTTCCGAACGCTCCGCCACCTGCTGCCAACCCCTCCCGGGGCGACCCAAGGCGCCGCCGCTGCCGCGCAGGAAGAGGGGGGAGGGGGGCGGGGGGAAAGGTCAGTGCACCGGCCTTGCAGACGTGCTGCAGCCGATTTCTCCGTGGATTTCTGCGTGGATTTCTTCGTGGATTTTTGCCCGAAGCGGCGAGTGAAAAACAAAGTAAATGTCGCATATTTTTTTTCCCGCCCCCCCCCAAAAAAAAAAACAAAAAAAAAACAAAAAAAAAAAAAAAAAAAACGCACGGAAATTACCTCGAAATCCGGAACGAAATTCTCCAGGACACCCCGGGCCCACACTATCGTTTTCCGAACGAAATCCACTCTGCGCTGTTGGCCCATGAGAAAGGAGGAGGAAGAGAAGGAGGACCAGGGAGGATCGGATCGGCTCGGATCGGGTGCCCGCGAGAGCCCTGCCGCGTCGAGCCGCGCGTTCGGGCCAATCGGCCCAGGGGCAGCACCAGAGAGGAAGACACTGCACGACGCGGATATCTTTCCTCAGAGGCGCCACCACGCGCACAGCATATTCGATCTCCACCGTGAGCGCACGCGCTGGATTCGCCCAAGGCGGGGCGAGGTTGCTCTTTTTAGGCTGCGGGCGCAAGTTGCCCAGCTGCGCCGCTGAACCCAGGATGGAGACGACCTTGGGAATATGCAGAGGCACGCTCGACAGGATTGCACGGTCGTCCACGCCGACAGCCGCCAGCCGAACCCGCGGGCCTGGGAAGTGGACGCCGGTCGCCCGAATGGCAGGGCGCACTGCAAACGCCCAATCTCTTAGGCAACCGCGCGCGAGCCCGACCCCTGCAGGTCAGACTTCTGAGCAGACGGACGGGGCTCAGAATGTGAAAGGCGCCTGCAGCCAGATGATCTCCACGGGGGGGGCGCCCCACACCGCCGCCCATCGGACCCGCAGGGGGTCGAGATCGCGACTGGCCGCAGAGCTGCGCCAGGCAGCGGGGCGCCACTGCGCCGCCCCGCGGCCGAGGAGCGGAGGAAATCTGCAGCCGCACGCCCGAAAGGACGCCGAGCCCGCGGGCCGCGCGTCGCAGGGGGCGGCAACGGCGTCGAGGCAACTGCCCACCGAAGCCGCACCCCTCGAGCGCGCCGAGGAGCCTCCGCTGTCCCCGTTGAGGCGCAGCTGATAGGAAAGCTTCGACACGTCGGCGCGCAAGCGAGTCAGGACGAGCTCGGTGGGTGCGCAGTTGACGCTGAGGGGCGCAAGGCGGGCGGCCTGGGCCTGCTCCACGACCGCTCTGACCTCGTCGTCGAGAGCCTCTTCGCCGCCGAAAGGGGCGCCCAGCGCGAGCGCGGGGCCGCGTGGGTCGAGGACGTTGCAGGTAGCGCGAACGTAGTCGGCGCCCAAGCCGTCGCGAAGGTGGCGCTGTTCCGGCGGGCAGAGCAGGCGGCAGGAGCTCTTGGCCGCGCCGTCGGCGGCAGAGCCGCGGGTGCCACGGACTTGGGCGAGCCCGCCGCCCAGTGCCCTGAGCCAGGGGTCTGTCAAGGTCAGCTGGCCAGACAAACACCTGCCCGTCGTCCACGTACCACTCCTCACACGCCCGCGGGCCGGCGGCGGCAGGGGCGGCCGCGTCGGGGGCGCTTCCCTGGGCTAGCGCGGCGGCAGCAAGGCCAGGGGCGGCCGCGGGGGCGAGCGGGCCGGGGGCGGCGGCCGGGGCCAGGCCGGGGGCGGCGGGGGGCTGGCCCGGGGCAGCAGCAGCGGGGGGCCCTGCTGGCGCGGGCGCAGCGGCGGCGAGGGCGGGCGCGCGCGCGGCCGCGAGGGTGAGCCCAGCCTGGACGGTGCCAAACCCGTCGCCCTGCTCCGCCCCGCGGTGGAGGGCTCGCGGTGGTGCCCGTTCGTCCAGGCGGCGATCTCCGGGAAGGCTCCCGACTCGATCGCGTCGCGCATGGAACCCCACTCCACGGAGCCGAACATGTTGACCAGATCGACGTCGAGGGCTACCAGAACGGGGATGGCCACAGCGGCAGCCAGCTCCTCCACGGTGCCGCGCCAGTGCGCCATCGCCTCACAAGCGCCGGGGACGCCGACGCCCCACTGGTGAGCCTGTCGGAACACCGCCCGCAGCTTGTGCAAGTGCTTCTTGGTGCAGCGTTTGGCGAAAGAGCTGCGGGGGACTTCTCCCACTCTGACGGGCCGCGGCTTGCCGATGGGTCCTGAGAATCCACCGCGTGGGAGCGTGGAGGGCGCCGTCACGCATGGCAGCGTGGAGCCCGTTCAGCGCGCGTCGCAGGCTGGCGGCTTCGCGGCGGCGCGGCACGGAGAAGAAATCCGCGAGGTGCTCTGGTCGCGTGCCCGCGGGGCCCAGAGCACTCGGCTTCAACCACCAGACGCCGTCGAGAGGGTTGTCCTTAGAGGCCTCCTAGATGGGGTCGGAGTAGATGGGGTCGGGGGATTGCGCCGCATCCCCGATGCCCTGGCGATGCACCAGCGACGTCGGCGGTGCATCGGCGCCGCCGGCGCGGAGGAAATCGGCTCCGCATCGAGCCGCATTGCCGATGCATCGGCGATGCGGAGCGATCCTCCGACCCCATCTACTCCGACCCCATCTAGGAGGCCCAGAGTCCTTAGTTCTGTCCTGGTCGTCGTCGCCGTCGTCGCGGCCGCCGTCGGGGGCGGCCGGCGCGGCGGGGTCGGCGGGCAGCGCGGCCGCCGCGGGGGGGGCGGCGCCGGGGGGCCAGCGGCCCTGGGCGGGGCGGCCTGCGGGTCGAGCGGCGCGCTGGGGGGCCAATAGTGGACGGCGGCGAGGGCGCGGTTCTGGCGGCTGCTCCGAGGGAGGAGCTGTCGGGCGTAGCGGAGGTCCTCCTCGGCGCTGGTCTGCAAGGTGTCGCTCGTGAGGGCGAGGGCGACCTTGCGGAAGGCCCCCTCGGCAGCGAGGTGTTTCGCGCGCCGCTGCTTGCCTTCGGTGTCGACAGTGCCCCCGCGTCACCGTCGCTTGGTTCGGTTGGCGTGGACCCGATCCTGCTCCAGGCGGTCCAGCAGAGCAGCGAAGTCTCCAGACCCCCAGAGCCCCAGGCGCAGGGTGACCTCCTCAAGGGTGGGCGAGCCCTCGGGGATGGGCCCAAGCAGTAGCTTGGAGCGCGCCTCTTCTAGCTGTGACCACTCGGGGGCGCCGTCGGCGCAGCGGTTCCAACACTGCCGAGTGGCACGGAGGAGGCGGGAACGGCAGCTGAAGGGCACGTGGACACACGTGTTGTGGCTCAGGGCGCGAACGCGGCGGGCGACGTCGAGTGGCAGGGCGGGCGCGCCCGCCACAGGGCCGTCGTCGATGGCGACGGCGTCATCGGCGGGTTGCGCAGCGTCTGGGGCGGCTGCGGCGTCGTCGCGGCCTTGCGCCCGGTGCGCTGCAGTCGCGGCGCCCGTGACGATGTCACCGACGACGGAGGGGGCGGCAGGGCGCTTGCTGCCGGCAGCGAGCGCACGTGCGCTGTCCAAGTGGCCGGAGGCCGCCGCAGGCGGAGTCCGCGCAGACGCTGCGCTGGAGGGCAACGACCCTGTCCCGCATGGTGGCGTCCATAGCACGGCCGGTGTGTGTCGCCGTGAGGTGCCGCATGAAGCCGCCCGGCGTTCGAAAGCCCCGGTCCAGGCACCACGGGCACCAGTAATGCCCGTTGCGGAAGGGCACGTGCGGGGTAGCGTTCGGATCGGGAGGCTGCGGCGGGGCAATTCCGGCGTGTTTGGGCACCGCGGAAGCCCGCGCGGCTTCTCGTGCCCGGGCGAAGGCAGGGGCCGCGCCGCGAGCCGGCCGGCCGCCGGCCAGAGCGGCGGGCGGCGGGGGTGGGCGGGCAGCGGGTGGCTGGCCAAACGGATTCGGGGCGCCGGCGGGGGCCGCGGCTCGCGAACATCTGCACCAAGTGACAGCAGAATGACAAGTCGGGCAAACGTCCTCGACGTTGCTGACCCCAGGCTGCCTGGGGCGGGCATCGACCGCCATCCGCGCGGGGGCGGCGCTGGCGCTCAAAGACGCCGCGCCGGCGGCAGCAGCGGCGGAGGGGGGTTCTGGCGCAGCAGAGCCCCGTGCCTCGGTTAAGGCAGCGGCGCGGCGTGATTCCTCAGCGGGGACGCTGGCGTCAACCTCCATGTTACTCCCCCTGATGGGGGACACGCCCGACTTAATGTTACGATCTCTGTCCACTGTGAGTTCGCTTATGCGGATCTCCAGCAACGGGTCGTCGCCTTCCGTGCAGTTGCGTCGGAGTTGGCGTCCGGGCGAACCGCGTGCCCCCGCCCGTGCCCTCGCCCACCTCGATGAACGTGTTGCGCGCGGTGACGTTGCGTCTTGAGCTCCTGCTGGTTGGCGCCTCAGCGGGGAATGCAAGTGTGAGGACGGCCCCCACGAGCAGGAGGACTTGTCCGCAGACCGCCATCGAGGAAGGGGGAACGCCGTGCCACACTGGGCTGAGGAGGGAGGTGGCCCAGACCGTGGCCGTGTTGCACACGGGCCTCGTGAAGTGGAGCTGCTCAGCCAGCGCGGCGGCGCACGGACCCCCGGGCGCACGCTGCATTGGCAGGCCGTGCGCGGTGGCACCGAGAAGCAGAATGCGCAGAGGCGCTGGCCAAAGAATCGCCGCCAGGAACACGCTGGCAACTGGCAACCGGCAGCCGACTCCGCGTGCGCGGCGCCATGGAGGCGCAGCGGAGGGGGCGCCCAGGCGCGGGAGAATGACAGCACGAGGCGAACACAATGACAAGGGGAAAAAGGAGGAGAAAGAGGAGGAGGGGAAGGGGCGGGGTGGAAAATCACTGTTGGACGAGGAGCGGAGCGACATGTGCCCAGTCGGCCCCGTTAGTGCAGCACCTGTTGCTGGCGTCGTCCTGGAATTCAAGCTCGCGCAGATCCTGCACAGGCAGGGAAGTCCGCCCTCTGCTTCGGAACGATCGGGCGCTGACACTGAGCCCAGGGCGCATCCCTGGCAAAACCCACCTCGTCGGCCAGGGCCGACGAGGCGGATTTGTTTCTTTTCCGGTGGCATTCCAAAGGCACTGTCGCCGTGCTGTATTTGGACCGGCTGTCGCCGTACCGTCGCCGTCCTGTCTGCCTGTATGCTTATCCCCGTGTTTTGCATCAGGACCGGCCCTGGGCCGATCGGGCGTTGCGTTGCGACCAGGGGCGACGGTGCCACTGGCTGATACATGCATACGCTGGCGTCCAAGCTCGGTGTGCAGGGCGATGGCGGTCGACAAGGATCAGTCATGCCGGCGCACCACCCGCGAAATGGAGCGGCGAGTGAGCAGTTTCGCCCCCCGCTGCCAACTCTCCGCGATTCCCGCCCAGGAGAACTGCGAGCAGGTTCCGACCCTGAAGCTCGCCGCATTCGTCGAGTTCGTTTCGCGCGCCTTCCATTACGCGGCTGGCGCCCGACGTTCCCTGTTGGTGCACGAGGGGTCGGGGGGGATCAGCGGGGGGCGTTGAGAGGGGAAGAGAGGGAGCGGCAACGACGAAGAGCGAATCGGATCCAAAAGCGTGGCCCACGCTGGGGCGCGAGCGCCCCATCTGAACGACGGGGGCAGATCACTGATCCTCCACCGTGGCCAGCGCTGCAGCGGACGCACCACTCCTGAAGGACCGACAACGCTTCGAACCAAAAGATCTGAGGGAGGGAGGACGACGACGGCGACGGCACGACGAGGGAGGAGGCAGGGATCGCCTGCCACGCCCATGGCGGGTACCGTGTCACGCACGCCGATCCCCACCCACAGGGGCCGAGATCCCGGCGCGCACGAGCTCTCAGGGCGAGTGCGCGGCGCGTGGGGGGGAGGCGAGATTCGACGCCCCCCGCACGCCTGCGTGCCCACCCTCGCGTCGGAGACTTCCTCGGCGGAACGTCGCCACTCCTCCGAGAGCACGGCGCAGCTGCACGTCAGCACGGCGCCCATCCGCGGCGCCTCGGGCGCGCGGGGCGGGAGGCGGCCCCCCGCGGCGGCGGGCGCAGCGAGGCCGAGCCCGCCCGCTCCGCTCCCGAGACTGCGGGCTCCTGAATGTCTGCGCTGGCCAAGCGCGCGCCTCGCGAGGGCGCGCGGTGCAGATCGAGGGGGAAGGCGGCGCCGACACGACGACGACGGCGGCGGCGGACGACGACGGCGGGACGAGGACGGCAGATCGAAAAAGCGCAGCGACGCGACCGACGACGACGACGACGGCGACGACGCCGACGCCGACGACGACGACGACGACGACGAAGACGACGACGACGACGACGACGACGACGACGACGACGAGGACGACGCCGCCGCCGCCGCCGCCGACGCCGACGCCGACGCCGACGCCGACGCCGACGCCGACGCCGACGCCGACGCCGACGCCGACGCCGACGCCGACGACGATGACGACGACGACGACCACCACGAGAACGACGACGACGACGACGACGACGACGACGTGGCGGCCCTCGGGCAGGAGGGGTGGCCCGCCGTCAGTGGTGCTGCTTTCTGGCGTCATCGCCTGTCCAGCCAAGCTGGTAACGGGGTCGTGTCGCTCGGGGAGAGGCGCTTGCCCACTCCGAAGTCTGGCGTCGTCGACTGCACATCTAAACTGGACTCCTCGAGCTGGACCGATCCTTCAGGGTCCTGGATACCAAAACGCAACGAAGAATACAGCTTGACTGTCTTACGACTCCTTGACGTGAACGTTGCCTCTCCCATCTGGACGGTTTCCCCCGGGGCCGAAGGCGGCCCGAGGAGGGGGAGGAGGAGATGGAGGAGGAGGAGGAGGAGGAGGAGGAGGAGGAGGAGGAGGAAGGAGAAAAAGGAGGAGCAGGAGGAGGAGGAGGAGAAGAAGGAAAGGGGATGAGGACGAGTCGCCGAAACACTTCGGAGAAACCCTCCACCCCAGACTCGCTCACAACCGACCCCTGGACCCCTCGTGAGATTGGGGGGGGGGAATGGCTCAGAATGCAGCGGGGTGCATAAATTCACCATGCCAGTAAGCCTCTCCCCTCTCTGGGGGACGCCACTCCGACGCGCGTTCGAGGCTAACCGCTCGTGCCAACTCGCAGGCCACATTCCCATCCATGAACCCGACGAACGCACCAAATACTCATGCACCTGCTGAGCGCGCCACTCAGATATCGCCTCTGAACATCACCCCGACTCGCTTTCCGAGCCGCGCCCAGCCGTGGCGACGAGGGGTCCCCAGGGGGCCCAGAAAGAAACCAGGTGGGCGGAGAGGAGGGCGGAGCCGGAGCCGCAGCACACGAGCACATCGCCTGCAAGGTTTCATTAGAAAGTCCAGCGTTCGCTAAGGACTGGTTTCCTTTCAAAACAACCGAAACCCTCCCGAAACCCTCCACAACCCTCCGGGAAAGGTTCCGGGAGGGTTGTCGGAGGGTTTCGGGCGAGTTTTGGAAGGGTTTTCTTCGTTTTTGGGGGGGATTTTGGAAAGTTTCGGGAAGGGTTCCGGGAGGGTTGTCGGAGGATCGCGCCGCATCGCCGATACATCGGCGATGTATCGACGATGCATCAGCGATGCTCCGGCGATGCATCGTCCACGCGGGTCATGCATCGGCGATGTCGGCGTGGGGAAAGTCGGGCTCCACATCGAGCCGCATCGTCGATGCATCGGCGATGCGGCGCGATCCTCCGACCCCATCTACTCCGACCCCATTTAGGAGGCCTAGATACACTTCACGTCCGCACGACCACGCTCCCTGGCAGAAAACCACCGGGGTGCACATGGGCACGCTCTCACCCTGTTCTGGCTGCATCTCTTGTTGCAGTCGATGTGCCTTGCGGATGCGATTTGTTCAATCCAGACGTGTCTCCCAGTTTTCGGCCATCGGGCCCCAGGACAATCAAAAGTGGATCCGGGGCGAGAAACTAGCCCTGGGGAAGGAAGGGGTCTGGAGGTCTGGGGGCGCGGATTGACAAAAACAAGAAAAACAAAAGCAAAAACAAAGAAATTATGTTCTTTATATTGAAAAGATGTCGTATGTCTGGGTCTCTTCGGTGCTCCCGGCGAGGAACCAAAAAGCTGGTTCGTCGTGCGCAGGGGTTGCAAATTCAAGGGGCCGTGTACTTGAAGGCAGAGCGCCCCCGCTCGTGTCCGCACTGGAGGGGTTGGGCTGAAGCCTGTGACGAGCTGGGCTCGGTTTTTGCGAGGCTGCTCGGGATTTGGGAGCTCGTCTTGAGAAGCCCGAGTGTCTTGCCCTTCGATTATTTATTGCGCGCGAAGCTGCGTTTTGAAGGAGGAGGGGCATACGATTAGGTCGGGCATGTCCCCCTACAGGCGGATGTTGGACAAAAGATTAGAAGTAGTCCAAAAATATTCAAAACGAATCACAAAAAGATATGTGTACATATATATATATATATATATTAGAAAGATTGTCCCCATACTATGTTTCGACTGTTTGGAAATATTCCTCCTGTAGAAGGACACGCCCGACTTAAGCATGGGAGCAGGAGGGGCGCAACGTGGGACACGGCTCCTCCCTGGTGGCGTCATATCTGACGTCTGCTGCTGGACTCCGTCGTGGGAAATCTGGAGCGAGCATCCGACGAACAAGGACATCCCGATAAAGACTCCGATCCAGGCGCCTGGCGACTGGATGCCTGCATACTACGAAGTTACACTGCACCCTGGCCGAAAAAAACATGCATGCCGGGGAGAATGGGGGCGAGGATGAGGAAGAGAAGCAACAGCTTCAGCAGGAGCAGCAACAGCAGCAGCAGCAGCAGGTACGTTAGCAAAAGCAGCAGGAGCAGCAGGAGCCAGAGCTGGAGCTGGAGCAGGAGGATGGCAGGACTGAAAGAGGACACGCCCAAAGAGTGCAGAAGCGAAAGTTGCGTCCACGTGGCTTGAACTGTCGACCAGCCGCAGCAGGGAGTACTGGGCCAAGTCCTCCACGACATGCACATGAGTCAAAACCACTGCGCACCCTCCTCGTCCACATCCTGCTCCTCCTCGCCATCCTTCTCCTCACACGTTCTTCTCCATCCTCCTCCGTCCCCCCCATCCTTCTTCCCATCTTCCTCCCTGTCCTCCTACTCCTACTCTTTCGACAGCAGAATCAGCAATCTCACTCCAGGGTATGGTCGGGCTGATTCCGAGCTTGGGTTCGACGGCTTAAGTATTCACATGCCTGTTCACTGGGGTGCTATTACAATTCCATGATCAGGACAGTTCACCTAGCTATCGTTTCTGGACGGGTTGGTGCGGTTCCAATCGTACCTGATTCCAGTGTCCCTCAGCCCCCCACTTGGAAGAAAAAGCGTGAGCCTCCTAGAAGCACGAGATGGGGATGTAGGTGAGCAGGTACACAAAAAACGACGATCGCCTTTGTCCTTCAGTCGGAACCGCCGAGACACCTCGTGGATTTCACTGAATTCACTCGATTGAAAGACGCGTGGACACAACAAGAAGGTGGAGTCGGCGGGAGGCTGAACTGGGTCAACTGGGGGAATGAATACAAATCCGCTCTATATCGGTCCCCCGACCCCTCCTGGGCTCCACGTGGTGCAGTGTTCCACCCCGGCCCCGTTTTTTGAGGGCCCGAGAAGGGCCCCTGGAGGCCGCAAGGAACAAAAAAAACGCCCTTAACCCAGAACTTCGAGCCTGCCCGCCCTGTTTGCTGGCCGCACCGGTGCTGGGCCACCTCAAGACCCCCGGACGGCTCCAAAGAACAGCTGCCGCTCGCGAGAGAGGACCGTAAAGCAAGACGGCCCACCGTCCTGCCAGCCCAGGCGCGCGGTCAGCCAGCTGCCGAACGCGAGGCAGCAGGAGAGCGGAGACCTCTGCGGGCGCGCGGCGGCAACGCAGGATTCCGTCTTCGGCGAGCTACCAGAAGGAGCGGTGACTACCAGAAGGAACGTGGTAGATCTGCCACTACAGCCACCGCGACACCAGAAAGAACGGCCATTAAGGAACGAATGGGCCGTTCTGGCGATGGCGAGCCACGGCCACGAGTGGGTTCTCCGGACTAATTCTAAGGAGCGACCGAGAAAACCAGAGCCCGCCCCCAATCTAAAGTGGCCCTTGTTGCATAGCCTTCACTGTAGCACGACTCCCAAGAAAGCCCCCGAGAGGCCAAAGTCGTCGAAACCATTGACTACACACAAGTAGTTCCCAAAGGTTTGGGCCTTCTCGACTGCGCGCCTGCAAATGGGTTCCAGACACTTGGCCCCAGGGTGCCCGCACGGGTCCCCAAGGAGCCCAACACGGCCCCTACGATTCGCCTCAACAAGGCCGCGCGAAGGCCCCTCCGAGGCCCCAAGAAGGCCTTATTTCCAGAGGCTCCAACTGCAAATAAGAGCGGCCCTCGCGCGGAGCTCCCGCGCGAGAGCAGCCGAGGGCGGGAGGCGCGGATGCTGGCGCACAGATTTGATAAAAATGGCTCCCAGAGGACCCTAAATAGGTCAAGCTTGCAACCGAAACGCCGCAGCGTACCCCAGGATTGCCCTATGCAAATACTGCAGCCTATGCCTGCGCAGTCCACCCCAGGCGCTGTACAACCCACTCCCCTCAGGACTTCAGTTCGGGTCCGCTTTCCCACGCTCGATGCGCAGAGGGGTCGCGCACTCCACCCCCTGGGGCCTCTGCCCGGGGCGCGCATTTCCACCCGCACGACTGCGAATTCCTTGCCCTCCCGCACCCTGGGCGTCGCGCCTTCGGGAGGCGTGCACGGGGGGACGGGGGGGGCGCAGCACGAGTGCGCGCCAGGGGCGTGCGCCGGCGGAGTGCGCCGCGCGAGGGGTTCCGGGGGGGCGCGCCAAGGGCTCGCCGGGGGGCGTGGCAAGGGGGCGCGCTGGAAAGGTGCGCCACGGGGGATGTGCCAGCGGGATTGCGCCGAGGGGGCGTGCTGAGGGGGGCGCGCCGAGCCGACGCGGAGACAATAGGGGTCCGTGGAACGGACCTGCCCCCTGGACAGGCCGCACGCGCACTCGACACACGATTGCAGGCGGAATTGCTGGGCAAACTCCCAGTCACTGTGTAAAACTCCCGCTGGAGCGCCGGCGACAACTCCAGTTGCAAATCCCGCTGCACTTTGGGTCG